TCCTTCCTCTCCCTTGGAGCAGCTGGTGGTTTCAAACTGCCGATCCTTCAGTTAGCAGCCCTAAGGCGTCACCTCCTGCGCTACCAGGGGTCCTGACGTATTTTTAAATGTATTTTGAAAAGTCATATTGGACAAACAACCTCAGCTGTAGAGTCTTCCAGTTAATATTACACAATTCACCTTTTGTCATGTGCCACACCATCTCCGTGACCATGGAGACGTTTTCTATATGGGACAGTTCTTAAAACACACACCAATGTGCAGAAGTGCATTATGGGCCTTCATGTCATTCAACCCCGTTCCAGCTTTATCAAAATTTTGCAAACTGCTCCATCTCCTCTCTCACCAACCCCCACTCCCCCTGAAGAATGATTTTTAAATCCCAGAATATCTTCAAGCAGTATGCAACCTTTTCCTTGCATGACCACACCCGCACCAAGTTGGCAATCATTCTCACTCTCATCTAAGACCCAGTTCACATTCTAATGACCCAAAGACGTCCATTTGATTGGCTTGTTTGAATTGGGATTCCCACAAGGGCCACGCGCTGCACCTGCTGTTCGGGTTTGGGGGGTGTCTAGAGTGGCCCTCATTCTGGCGGAGGAACATCCAGGTGTGCTGGAGAAGGGGCAGCACTTGGGGCTTGTCTCTGCTCTGTCTCGATGTGCTGGCCTCGTCCCTGTGTTTTCTGTCGTCTGGAGGGAGCACCGAAGGCTGAATTGGATGCTGGCGAAACATTCGTAGCAGAGCCACTTTTCGCGTGTCTTCGCATCCCATGACACAGGATGACCGGCGGTCCCTCTGGAGTGGTAGCAGTCTGACCCCTTCAACTCTATCTAGTTGACGTTTCCTCAATTAAATATTTCACTTGTAGTTGTAAAATGCAGATTTTCTAATAATTACATTCCTTCTAGGGCTGGTCACCATTTTTAAAGGCGGCACTATGATTTGTTGAGCACAAGACGACAGCGGGGTTTTTAGCACCAAAACAAAACTAACTCCTTGCCATCGAGTGGATGCCGACTCATAGCGCCCCCGTGAGACAGGGTAGACCTGCCCTGTGGGTTTCCCAGGCTGTTTACCGGAGTAGAACGCCCGTCTTTCTCCCACAGAGTAGCTGGTGGTTTCGAACTGCTGCTCTTGTGGATTGAAGTCCCAGACATGCTCACAAGGCCCCCAGGGCTCCGAGGGCTTCCTACGGAGGGTCAACATCAGAAATCTGGAGCGAGGTTAGCCGGACTCCCCTAATTTTACCACGTGTGAGCTAAGCGTCAGCGGCCCCGCCTGTAAATCGGGGCGCTGATAGAAACCACCTCCCGGACTGACGGTGAACCTTAAGTAATGCACGTTATGTGGGCTGAACAACAACTGGCTGCCATCGGGTTGACCCCATCTCATAGTGAGGCTCTGGGGCAGGGCAGGACGGCCCCGTGGGGTTCCGAGCCTGTCCCACTTCGCGCAAGCAGAGCGTCAGTGTTTTCTCCCGGAGCAGCTGCAGGTTTGGAGCCGCACAGCTGGAGCCTAGCAGTCCCACGTGACCCCACTGCGCCACCAACACGTGTTTGTTGTATCGCTCCATGGCCAGCGCAGAGCAGGTCTTCAGAGCAATAATGGTTACGGACCTAAGTCTGGAGTTCGTGTGGCCTAACTTATTTATTCATCAACTTTATTTATTCATAATCCTGACTTATTTATTCATCAGCCTTAACCTCGACTTTCAATTTCTTCAAGATGGGATTAATGATAAACTGGACCAGCTGCATCGTTGACATGGTGAAGTGATATGAGAAAAGGCTTAGCATAGAGCTAAGCACTAAGAAAAGCACTTGGTAAAGGTTGACTGATGGTGATATTATTATTATCACCCCTCGTTATTAATTCCACTGTGAGTCACTGTATGCCGGCTCCAGTAGACACACTGCAAGAGAAAGCAGGCATTTGGAGGGATGCAGCGGAGCTTGTCTTTTGGTATCACTGCCCAGCTGTCTAGTCTGAGAGCCAAGTGCTCACCTTCAGACATGTCCAGTGACAGTGCCTATGGCGCTGCTGTTTTCCAGGACAGCCTGTACCACGGGACCACTGGCATCCTATACATGAGCGCCGCTGTCTTACAAGCACACGCCACCATCGTGTCTGAGTTCAACTTCACCACCCAGTACTACATCAATGCCTCCGCTTCGGTGAGTGGGTTCCTGCTGGGAGTTGGGAGTGAGGCTCAATTTGACCTCAGGTGGAACAAATAATCCTGAGGAGCCAC